TTTTTATTCGCACAGGAAAAAATGGTTATATCTTGAGTGAAGCCATGGTATCCCCATAAGTAACTTCTTACCCTTTGTGATCTATTGTTTATTGGAAATTTTACTAGTAAAGATGATAATTTTTTAGACTATATTTCTTTTAATAAAACCTAGTGTGCTTTTCAACACTACAACGTTATCGCAGAAATTGTTAATGCTTACGAAAAATATGGTAACAAGTTGTCTAGCACTTACAGCTACCATTGGAAAGAAATCTTAAAACAAACGAAGCTTGAAATATTCCTTTTTTTTTTAATTCAAACGTTTGAACGAAAATAGATTTCTGCAATTGATTTCAAGATGCATTCACGAGTACATTGACGTAAATACATGTATATTCAGTTTAAAAGATTTTGAAGTTATCTATTTCGTCTCCCCTCTTCCACTCCTTCCTATGCCTTCCTTTTTGGAAGGCCATACAAAAAACTTCTCACATCCAAAGACTTCTCACAACGTTTGCTCTATGTTACTAGACGCGATAAATCCCAAATCTGATGTCGAATTGCGCCGCCACCTTTTTTTTACTTTTCAGCATACATACGATAAACGAGTAACAATATAAACGTATACGTATGAGCTATACGGAGTTGTAGGGGAAATGTATGTAATGCTGCGCGATGAATCCGGGCGAATTTTCGTCAGAAGAAATTCATTGCTGGTAACGAAAAAGTGTGATTAAACCCAATTCTTAAAATAAGGGGAAAATACTCTAAAACGTGTTGTAATTCAGAATCCATGTTTTGTGGGGCCTTGATTACCGAAAAAGTTGATTGACGGCAAACGTCCGTCCGTTCTGGTGTATTGAGAACAACACTAGCGCCTTGAACTAGATGTACGATTTTTTTCCTATAAATTAGAATAGGAAACCTCTGTCAATATAAGTTTCTCGGGAAACTCAACCAATTTTTTTGTTGAAAAGTAAGCTCCAAATTATTCCGCATTTTCAGAAACGCCCAAAACCCCATTTCTCAAGGATTAGTACTAATTGGCATTCTTTTAATTGAGGTAAAGTTCATTTGGAATTTTTTCCCCTTCAAAAAATTACCACATCTGCACGCTGGTAATGTGCACATTTCCAACGATTTTAAAACACTTAATATGTTAAGTTATTTGCTTCAATGACCTCATAGTGAAGTTTTTTCGAAATTTTTTCTGTAAAGAGTTCTTCAAATTTCGAATTTACAGTCGCGCTTTACCGCCATTTCTTAAAAAAATTGCACCAGTTTTTTGTTAAAGAAAAAATTTCCATATAGGACGAGGTTTACGCTTTCTTTCTCTTAATACCATAAAATATTATTTCCCATTCTGACTAGTAGGCGTGCCGAAAAATTAAGAGAAAATGTCAAAACTGTACTTTAGGTGACGATAGATAGCAGCTGCCAAGAGTAGGTAGCCAAGTTAGAAACAGACGACCAAAGGAAATAGAAAACTAAAGGGGGAGGGGGGAGTACGATTCTGTACCACCAAGTAGTTTAATCGCGAAAAACCCAGTTCGTAAAGTTAAATTCGTGTGTGCTGTGCTTGTGTTAACATACATCGGTATGTCCCAAAAGCAATAAACAAAAGTACACACCCATACAATATGATGTAATGTGTGCAATCGTTACGAAGTGGTTACCTTAAGTACAATATTTTTCATGCGAGTGTCTTCTTAATACACAAATCCATGATTACTATTGCCGCAATTATAATTAGTCTATGGCAAAAATTGCAGTCTTGCAAAAGTGGAAGTTACTTGGAAAATTGTCGGCGGGCGTTTGCCGAATTCGTTTACCACGCTCGTTGAAGTTAACGGAGGGTTTAGCGAATTCCGAGACTTGCAGGTGTCCCTGGTTGGTGACCGGCTGGGCATCCCCGGGGATCTAATGGCGCGGAGCCCTCTGGAAGTAGATGAAAGCACTGACATGACATGACCATGACATGACCATTGACATGCATGGGATGAACCTGACCTGGGACCTGACTGACTCTGACAGGGACCGACAGGACAAGTTAGTAACGAGAATTATACACATGGAAAAGCGCTCAAACATCCCCCGAGCGGATTTCAAGGAGATGGTTTTGCATCAACGACCACGCAACATAATATAAATAATATATAATTAATATTATATTTATTTTATTATTATTATTATTATTATTATTATATTATTATATATTTTATTATAATTAAAAGAATGAAGTGTCTGCCATACG